GAACTTGGTTTTGCAGAATTGAGCCTCTGACAGATAGAAACAAATATAAAAATGTTAGAAAGTTTCATACCTGGAAAAAAACCCCAACAGTGTGTTCTCTGCTTTCTGGAAAAATCACTGCATTTTAGAGTTTAGGAAGGTGGGATTGTGTTTAGAGAATTCCAGTTTCAAAAAGGATGATAATGGGTAGTAACCCACAATAGTTAATGTTAACAGACAAACCTGATAACTGTCATTAATAAAATACATCTCTGAGAACTTCTTGTAGGTTTGACCTTTACTGATTTTTTTTTTTGCTTTACAATATAGAAATCTGTTCATAAGTAACATTGTAAATATTATTGGTTTAAGATAATTTGATAGGAGCATAATTTTGTTTCATATACTGGGCAAATAGAAAGCAAAATTATTTTTATAATTTTGAGAAATAGGAAGCAAGCTCCTGGAAAGCTTTATGCTGGAATCACTGTGTTTAATAAAATCTGAAAAATGAAACAGAGTAAACATATGTTGCTTACATTTTTAGTTGACTCTGAATGAGGCATCATTACAAGTGCATTGAGGGATACCATGGAAATACAAAATAATCTGGAGGGTAATGGACAGTTCTAAATGGGTTTTAAATTTAGATGAACATTACATAATGCATTCCAGGCACATGGCATTATATATAAGCATTGTTGCTGCAGAATGGGAGATAATACTGCTTAAGCTCTTCAGCCCTCGGTACTCCTCCTTCAAGTCATTTTTCGCATATAAGTAGATAGAAATCTGATCATAGTACTGCTGGAAGGGGGAGACTGCTTGTAGGGAGCCTCGGGCTCTGTGCTTGTAATGTTTGAGTGTAATTAAGATGATGTGTCCATGTTTACCTGCCCAACCAAGCACAGAAAAGAAAGGTCTTAGTAAAGAACAGTTGTCCCACAGTCTAGAAAGCTTAAGCTTCTTTCAGAATCAGACCCTGATATGAGTCTGAATACAGTTTCTCACAATACCAAAATTACTCAGTTAGCCATTGGTCCTCTAGCCCTCCATCACTGACAACAGAGAATGATAAATGTAGGGACTCCACATGCTGCCACCTGGTACTAAGACTCTGCATGAGCTATAGGTACTTGTTCCTCCTTTATGTAAATACAGTTTGATTGCTGACACACATAACACTTAATTTTGCCCCTGCCTTGATTGAATTTACCACCACTGTGGACTCATTATTGAAGTGATAGGTTGTCCCTCTAAATACAAATTGGTTTTGGTAAATAATTTTTATATTGATTTATTTGAAAGCTTTCAAACGTGCTTGAGACATCATGTGGAATGTTAATGGTATGATGACACTTTCAAGTAGAAATACATGGAAAACCATATGGTAATTCACAAGTTAGTAGTGTGTATTCACTATTACAGTTACTGAGAATGAATTTTTACAGAGAACTGCCTGTTCACCTAAAATAAAAAATCATTAAAGGTCCTTTGCTGTGGATTAGAACCTGAATGAAGCTTTGCAAAGCAAGTCACTTGTTTTCCTGTACTGCTTTGCAGTCTGCTTTGCTGCCCACTTTCCTGCATAATTTCTGTTTTGCTGCTGAAACTTCAGATCGATCCTTCCTGGAAAATGTGTGGAACAAGATGAAAAGCCTGCTGCAATCTTTTTCTTGGCTAGGGGAGAGGAAAGGAGACATTTTGAGTTTTGCTTTCAAAAGTTCTCTTAAAGATCTCTTGTCTTGGCAAAAGATGTAGAGTTCTCTGGGGAGAAAAAGTAGAAGGTGGTCATTCAAATGTGGGTCATTTTTACATGATATATCATAGACTTAAATTTCCATGAATAATTGCTGATAACAAACAAAACTTCAAGACTTTGCAGTGACAAAATTACTCCAGAAATGAAAGGTAAAGAAGGCTTTCCCAAACTGTGTGAAGCATAAATGGAGCAAATGGATTCAATTTCTGCTTTGATAGTTCTCCTTTATAAACATTGTCATTCAAAACTAATATATTTCTTCATAGTTTCTGATAATAAAAGTCTGATAGTGTGGTGGTCAGTGCAAGGCAAAATAAAGCAAGTACAAACAAAACGTAGTGTCAAGCAGCAGTAATTGCAAGCAAGTAATTTGAAAAACATACAGAGAAATCAAGTGTGGAAGTCAGAATAAAAAGACTCAGGAAATTAAATAGCAACAGAAAACTTATTTAAGTCTGACACTTAAAAATAAGTGTGCAGGAAACAAGAAAAAATGTCTGAAGATACAGTTGCAAATTGAGATGATAAAGTACACATTGCTGAAGTTAGCCAGTAAAGCATCCAAATGCCAAGGTGATAACTAGCAAGCAATGCAAATAATGAAAAGCCTGCATTCACAGGCAAAGCACATTGCTGCTGTTCTGTGGAAAAGGATCATCTCTGCTACTTTCTCCTGTTCTTTCACTTTTGCCATTTGTCATTGGCGATGCTTGTTGGAGAGGCTGTTGGGAAAGTGTCTCCGCCCTGCCATGTGCACACACTCCTGTTTGGCTGGTTGAAGGTCTGCTCAGGAGCATAAATGTTGGTTTTGTGCCTTACCCTCCTGTGCCTGGTTAGTTCCTCTTGCTGCGTCATCTCTCAGCACAGCACTGAGACTGCTCCAGTGTGTCGCTGGGACATGCCTTGGCAGTGTTTGCTTCTGAACAGTCGCTCCTGTTCTGGTCTGCTGGAACTCCTGACTGTGAGGACAAAAGGGGCAGAATAGCAGGAAGTGAAAGTTGAAAAAAAAGAGGTGTGAGAGAAGGCAGCCAAGGAAAGCCATGCTCATTTACCTTCTGTTCCCTTGGCTTCATCCTGTTGCGACTTGCTTTGCCCAGCTTCATGTAACAAAGTTACATGAGCTTTTTACTCATGTCACCATTTAATTCCTATACTAATTCATACTGTATAATGGAACAGGATGTGTGATTTGCTTCTTGGATATAATAATATAGAAAATTCACAGACATCAGTAAATAAATGTATTATCCTGGCAGTATGTCTTCCTGGTACTGGTCATTTAGTATATGAGGTTTTAAAATGTCTGTTGTAGCAGTAGCAATAGTGTTAGACTATTTTTATATGGGAGTAGTCTGGTTGTTCTTTCATCACAAAAAGATGAGCAGTGTCTAGTTTATCTATGTGCAGACTACATTATTGTCTCACAAAACAATGCCCCAGTGCTAGGATTGCTTCATTAAGTTTATGCTACATAGACATAATTATGCAGGAGCTAAGAATAGCTCATCTAATTGAAAATAATGATTATAGAGAAAGAACGGGTTTGATAGCTGTTACTAAGCAAGCACATACCATACACCCATTCATGAACTGCACAGAACACATATGGGATTATGCGGTGTGTTTGTTTTTATTAACAGTTTCTTTCCCCCATCCTAAGTACAAATTGAAGGTGTTACAGCTTATTTGCTCATTATCTTTTTTTCTCACAGACCGAGAGGGACCCGCAAGAAGGCAGCATAAGCTGATATTTATCTAGTAAATTATGACAAGCTAAGCTTTGAAATAACATCCAACATTTATCCCCACACACATTTTAGGGAGGATGTAACTTAAATAAATCTTCTCCAGGCACCACAGATGAAACTGTCTATGTGTTTTTTTTATGACTGCGTTTATACTAGTACCCTACGGGATTAAACATCCTTTTAGAAATGCAAAGTCTGCCGTTCTGTTAATCTCTTGATGCTCATTCTGGTTAATGCTAACTTTTAATTCTTGCTTTGTCTAAAACACATAGAACTCTTCTTTATTCCTTGAAAATAAAACTGAATTTTTACTATGAAGTTGTTGAAAGTTTTAATTTATTTGATTGCTGTTGATTATTAACACCAGGCACACAGGATAAAAGTTGGTGCTACTGTTGTTCTCTTAACTAGTTATTTTCTTATTTCAGTGTCAGTTTTCTACTAGTTACGAGAAAAGGGATGAGATCATGAAATTTAACATATCTGGTTTAGGAAGGTTATTAATATCTCTAGAGTCTCAAAAAATTCTGCTGGTTTGCCATGTTTAGCTTTCCCTCTATTTTAACGAACCATTTCATAGCTCTAGGCTGTGTGCTAATGTTGTGGAGGCACAGAGAGATCACTGCCATCAGGAATTTTTAAACAGATGACTGTTTGGAAAATGAAGTGGTGAGAGAAGATGGGACAAACATAGATGCAAACCTGCAGTAACACAACTATCAGTTTGCACAGTCTGGAATCAGAGACCTTTGCACAAGCTGTTCTTGAGGCTTTTTAAGAAATAGCAAAAGGAAAAAATGGAAGCAAAGGGCAGATTACTTTACCAGAGTATTCCAAACTGTTGTCTTGACTTCTGAAAAGTTGCCTTTTCAGATGGTTTTTGGATTTGAAATTCAATGAGTTACAAAAATTTAAAACTGTTAATGAACTGTTGGTTATACAAATACCTATTGAAGTGTCAGACACATTTTCTGTGCTATTTCTTTGAAACATAGTCTGATTTCCCATATTTTTGGGCCGACATACCTGAATTTTGCCCTTCAAAAGTTTTTACATGGCACCCAGCATTGAGCATTAACTTCGAAATGTTGTGAGGGTAGTAGCATTTAAACACCATGTATCCTGGTCCCACAAAAACCTGTTTAGGAGTCAGGGTGGTGGCCCAGTCTGACCTTCTGCACACTTGTGTGCACATTGTGGTAAGATGAAATTAAATCCTAACCCCAGATTTCTGTCAGATAGTATATTTTTTTTTGTAATTTTAATTATAAGCTTGGGCCGTAAATTGTGTTCCTGCAAGTAAGTGTGATTCGAGGATGAGCAGGACTGAAGAGCTGAGAGGAACAGTGGTTTGATTCTGAAATACCTTGCTGATTCGCAGTTACTCACAAGTGAGCGTAAGAGCACACTATACAGAATAGTGTGTGATAGCTGAGGTCCTTTACTCTCACATTCTTGATGCAAGTGATAAAAGACTCCTTTGCATAAAAACTGTTTTCTGCTTTGTACAGAACCGCACATGCAAGAGCTAAAGCTGATGCTGCGGATCAGGCTGCTCAGGCTGCTCGACAGGAATGTGATATTGCAAGAGCAGTTGCCAGAGAACTTTCACCAAATTTCTACCAACCAGGTAATTGTAGATTGGGGTTTTTTGTGGCTAATTGTTTTATTGCAGTGAAAAGATTTTGTGTTAAGTTAAAGTGTTGATTTCATTTTGAATGTTATCATTTAAACGGAAATAATAGTCATCTCAGTCATGAGGAGTGTACATTGCTAAAGGAGATTTTGCTTTCAGTTTTTAATCATTTGCTAACTATAGCTTTGTATGAAAACAGTGATATGTTGAGAAGTACCAAGCATATAACTTCACCTCAGATTAATAGTTTATTCAGTACGGTGTCAAAGATAGACTTCAGAGAACATAAATCCACAGAAATTTTGGTTAATTTTATAATATGTTTATTAGTGGAAAGATCCTTAGCTTTTTTGCTGTCCAGTGGAATTCTTGACGATCTGGGTTAGCTAAGGTCTGAATTTTGGTGAATGCTTGACCATTAGACATACATAATCTGTAAGGGAATCTTTCTCTGTTGTGCCTGTGGTGCTCTGTGAAACATTGGTTCCGTATTCAAGATATAATAGAATTAGGTCTATCTCACTTATATCAGCGTTGCAGCCCATTTTAATCTGTCACGTGGTTTGAAAAGTTGCTATAGAAAGAAGCAAAGCTGATTTTGCTTTGTTTTTCTGCTCTCTTTCCATGAAGCTAATATTTTTGAGTACTGCTCTTTAGCTTAAGACTGAATAGATAAAATGGAACTCCATTTGCCAATTTAATGTCTTTTCATGTCTGCCCTTTCTTTCACCTGTCAAATTGAGTTGAGTCATATCTTGTTATTACTTTTCAAGGACCTGCCAGCACTCGTATGCTAATATAGATTATAGCTCTGAGATTCATTTTCACTTACTGTCATCTTCTGCATATCTTTGTTTCAGACATAACCTGTTTATTCTTAAATGTACCCATATAGTGAATGCAGGCTAATATCATAACCCACAAAATAAACGCACAACAACATTCTTCAACATTTTCTAAAAATGCATCTGTTCCCTTCAATTTTTATTTCAAATGACTACTGTATATAACTTGTTACTAAGTCTTTACTGTCAGAAAGTTTAAAGAATACTCGTTTTTTTCTTTGTTCCTAAGTACTTGGTTGTATTTTGGGGTTGGGAGAGTTGGGGCACTCTTTTTTTATTCATTTAGTACATAAGTCAAGGATTGGCCACCTGATTAGAACCTCCATTGCCCTTGCCAGTCTTGTAAACTTTCTTTGTGCACAACCTGATGTAAATTCATCTTTCTTGAACATGGCAGTCCAGAACTGTAGGCAAAGTTCAAAAGAACTATTCCAGTACTAGCTTTAAAACAGTATAAATATGTACCTTTCACTGTTGGAAATTACCTCAATACTACCTCTCCTATGGACTTGTATTAGTGGCCCATACTTCTGTGATAATCAAGTCTTTTCTTTTTTCATTATTTCATTCTTCTATCAGCTGAAAAAATTCCAATTTATAGCAGCAGGTCATCTTGCCAGTCATAAGTTAAGAAGTCATAGGCGTAGCCATGCAAAGAATTGAAGCACTTGGAAAGAAAGTATTTGAAAGCTGCCAAACCCTTGAAATAAAGAAACGGCTGGAGCACTCGAGTGAAAATGCAAACATCTGATGGTGTGAAATTTGACACCAAGAAATTGCACAGATCAAGAATTTCTCAGATGTCTTTTTTTACTTCCAATGAAGTAGCATTGCTGACAAATTGGCTGAGATTTGGGGACAGAAGGTGTGGGATCTTATTTTCCTCTCATTTGAAACTTTTATTCCAATTACAGAAGAGAAGAATTTGTATCACCTCTGCAAATGCAGCTGGATATGTGTGCAGTGATGTAACAAACCTTTTCTTAGAAGAGTTTACTTACTCTGTTCTTTGTGTGGAAACATCTCTCAGTTAGTTAGCTACCTATCAAAAGATAAATACCTCTTCTGGAGTCTAAATTTTGCATTTCCTAATTATTTTCAAGATGGCCAAATACAGCGTGTTTGTATACACTTGAAAAAAATTGCTATTCCCATTGCTTGGGTAACTTGCAAGATGCCAAGATATTAACTAGATTTCAGTTATCCCAAATAAGCTGCAGCAAACCACCAGGTTCACACATCATTGTGATAATTTCAAATACTATCATGTCTAAGATCTTTTCCAGACTCAGTGTACATATGCCTTTTTCGGATACATTTCTTCTGTGTGGTACCAGTTAACCCTGAGACTCACTTATCCACACGTTTGTTTATGGATTTCCCAAGTGTCATGCCAAGACTTACTGGACAGTGTTGTCATTAGCTTTTGTCATTTATGGTAATGAAATAGATAAGTATTTTTAATTATTTACATTCACTCACACAAACAACAGTAAGTAGCTGCTCTTTGAATAGTATTTTTCATGTGTTTGAATGAAAACAAGGTAACCATTATTGCTTCCTAATAGCAACTTCTTGGTTTTCCTCTGTTTCTTGAGCTTTACATTTTTTACAGTATCTTTATAAGTCTCTGTAAGTGCTACTAAAAGGTAATGGTAAGTTTTGTGTCTCAGTCTCTCAAACTATAGTTAAGTGAAAGCTTTCCATTGTACTAAATAGTCTTGAAAATAAGTTATGAGAAAGTGTAATTTTTCTCTTATTTATTTAACTGCTTAGTACTTCAAGCATGCTGTCGGCAGTAAATATATGTAGTATATCAACAAGCCTCTTCAAACAAAGAGACAAAAAAAGTCAAATACAAGTACCTCTCTGTAAACAACTGTGAATTTTTTTTTTCTGTCTTAATGAGTGATCTCTGAATTACTTGCAGCCTAAGTCCATTGATAAAGCTCTTAAATTTTAGATTCTTAAAAAGCAGCCTTCTGGGCCATATAGCCTAGTATTACACACAAATTGCAGTTACAGTGGATATTCATAAGTCATTGTACCATGACAGTTCATACTTTCCATTTACTTTCTCTCACGTTTCACTTTTATGTTCATTAAGGCATTCATCAGAAGCTGCCAAGATGTTCTAGCTTTGTAATGTAGTTAAAAGGAGACTAAAAGGAGAACAAAGCAGTAGGAAGTAAAGTGGCATCCAGCACATAAGAATAATAATGTCAGTGATTAGGTATCGTAGAAATCTTGAGATTCAGGTTTCGCAGTGATTGATTGCCTCAGTGTTTGCATATGAGTAAAGCCAAGTATGATTGAAAAGGTCAGAGCCATGGTATAAGGAGTTATAAGGTTGCAGGGAGCTGTTTTCCCTGAGTTTGTTCATGCTATGCTCAGGCTTCTACTTTTGCTGTGCAGAGATTTGTCCTAGTGATTAATAATTACGAGGATTCATATCTTTTCAGAGCCCTACACACAAGGCTATACATTTTGTAGATTTAACAAATGTTGCAGTCTTTACAGAGGCCATATTTTACAGGCCTTTTTATCAACAAATAAAATGAATTTTGAGAAATCCCAGCTCTGACCTGCTTGTTTCCTCCAGGCATCACAAAACTTGTAGATGTGTCAAAAGAGAGCATGCCAGGACAGAAACAAATGAAACCTGAGTCATAGCCTCATTCAAGGGAGTCATCCAGGGACAGTTTGAGATTGTTTTTGCTTAGAGAAAAAATAAATGCTGTTTTGTGTCTCTTGTTAAAATGTAGAGAATAGCAAATGACTTATGGGAGTGCTGTATCAAAGGTCTAACAGAAAAGAAAGGATTATGTACACCCAGTAAAAAGGAGGAGTATTGTTCTGATATTGCACAAGGTTAGAGGATGCTTTGACTTACACATTCATTCTAAATTCCACAGACTATCTCTAGGATATAGTCTTGTAAACACACTATCAGGAGGTAAACTGAAGTATGAACTGTACAGACTGGACAGCTAAGCCATAATTGTCTGTGTGCATGTATATCCTGCAGCAAATGGATACTGCTCTTTCATTCAGTTTGAATGAATAACATTTGATTAAATGAAAGAAGGGTGAAACTACTTTGCTGCAGGGTAAGAGCAGTCTGGGCACTTTACCACAGAGGAATTAAGGTCTGGAAATTCAGATCTGAATTGTTTTCTGGCAGATTATTTGTCAGGCTAACCAGCTGCCAGATGAACATACATGGATCACCAAAACAATTCATCCAGCTTTTGATCTCCTAAACAAGGCATGAGAGAAATCAAGGAGCAGTTTATCAAACTAAAGCTGTCTAAAGAGATGGACAGAATTTTTTCAGGTGAAAAACATGAGCAAATATTTTCTAATGATAAGAATAAGAATTTAGCAGGTTTCACCATTATTTTTTATTATAATGTTTGGTTACTCTTAAAGCATCAGTATTAACATGCTGAACATTGCTAGTTTCACAAATAAGCATTTTGAGTTTATGATAAGGCAATTTGTAATGGCCTCTGATGCCTCAAAGAGCAACTGTGGTTTATATTCTCTTTTGACCAGTGGTGGATGTCCGTAGCCTCAGAAAAAAACACATCCTTCCCATCTTCCTCCTCTCTGTCATCGCCACCTCCTCCAGTTCTCAAAATGCAAACTCCATATGGACAGCAAAGAGAGATTTCTGGCTGATGCTAATTAACTAGAATGTCCTGGCTAAATGCATATGGGCCAGACCAGATATTTGTATTTAAAAAGCCAATTACAATGAGCATTTTGCCTGAAAAGTTACCAGCCATGCCATCAGTTTGTGCCTTAGAGCATACGCTCACTACTCTTAGTCATACAAAAGCCTGTTCATTTTCTGAATTTAGTCTACATATGACTTCATCATCCGCACACAACTGCTGTTGGGATTCTTGCTATGCCATTTTTTCTCTACAATTTATCACTTCCATTCTCTTTCTGCAGAACTCTGGAGAAGCCATAGCCTATAGACATATCCTGATGCACTTCTGTTGTATCCAGTAATCAAAGAAAGAAGGTGCCTTAAAAGAAAAGATGTCGGTTTCAAGCTTTATTCTTGTTCTCCGCTTTCTTTTTATAACCCTTGTCATACCAGTCTTCACAGTTTGCCTTCCAGATTTATCACTGGTC